TTGTTGCACTATATTTCATCGTAGATAGTGAATTTTTAATATCTCTACGTAATGCTTGTAATCTCAAACCCTCATTTCGACACTTATTTCTATATGTAAATGATTTAATACATAAAAATATTATATTTATTTCACTATTGTTGGGTTTTGGATTTCCAAATATGAAATTATTACTATCGTTTGGAAACTCTTTATTGCGTGGACCCTGCGGTCCACGCAGTAAATATATAAGCGAAGTTAAACCGGATGCCATGGGCATATGTCAGGCTACGCATGCGCGAGATTTCTGGAGAGTTCGCAACTGCATCATATCGGGTCTTTCCGTCAAAGTTCGGAAAAACAACTTCCGCCTGTCGGAAAGGCCCGAGAATATGCGATTAAGAGAGTTCGCCCCCCTAAGACAGCTTACCCGTAGAATAATTCGCCATAATCGAATAAGAATAGACCATGTTCATTGGCAAATCTCGCTTTTAAATCTGCATATCGTATTTATTTGCGCATCCGAATTTCTTTTTTATACATACACTTTTATAAAATAAACATTGATATCATGCAGATGCATTTTAAAGAGAAGGAAGAATTGAAATTGAAAAAAAATATGCGTACTACAGAACTATATCTACACGTGTTCCATCAGATATATTTTTTCAATTATAGATTTCTTCTGTATAAATCAAGAACAGATGTAAAGTCCTTGCTATTATGGGTGACATGTATCAATATAGCCCTCTTTTTTAAATGACAAAACTATATCATAGTATATGCATATGTAAGCCAATCGGAGATAACATATAACAAATTCGTTCTTAAAGTACTATGAGCCATAGTAGACAAATCATAATAGAAAGTGTGAAAGAACCTAAATGAATGTTCACTAAACCTAAAAATTATATTGAATTGAATTTCGGTTAGAAACACATGCATATGGTCCACGTATTGTAGTCCTTTTTTCAAAGGACAGCAACTTGTTATAAGCTTCAAAGTGAATTGTAAAACTATGTAAAAGCTCCTGAACCTTCTGGCATTCCCACATAATATGAACAATTGTTTCCTCATATGTCTCACAGAAGCTACATAGTTTAGTATCCTTCAAACCTATTAAATATAACATTTAATTTGTAGCAAGATATGCTGATTTATTTTGAATTGTAGCCATAGAAATTTAGAAATTTTTGTACATCGAAAAGGAATATTATATATCATTTCACATAGGGAATCTTAAATTTCAAAATGTTTACTCCATTTTACTTTTGAAATAGGTCCTATGTGTTCTGTATTCAAAATATAATACAAAGCTTTTGTTCCTTTTTTACATACACATAATAATGTTAAATAAAGAGGTAGAATTGGCCTAGGGTTTAATCTTTCTTTGTTTACTTTTTCTAAAGCCATCGCTTCTTCTACGGCTTTCTGTTAAATTTTGCTTTTAGATCCTCTAATTCTAAAAAAAAGATCTTGTTTCATCAAAAAAATCTGAGCTAAAAATTACATCATGCATAAACCATTTGGAGTAAATAATGGGCTTATTGTCAATTTTATTGTCAGATTGCCTGCTTGATTGATTACTGATACAATATTACATTGAAATAATGAAACCCATCTGTTTAGAGAAGGACCAAAATTAAAGAATTTAAGGGCTTTATCAATAAAATTCCACGACACTGTGTCAAATGCATTTTCAAAATCAATCAATAACAACATTCCAGGGATATTTCTTTCTTCTGTATAATGCATTAGATCATTCATCGTTTAATAAAGATATTGGGCGCCAATTTTTTTTTTTTATAAAAAATTATTTTTTCCTTCTTTAGGTATACAAGTGATAATTCCCTGTTTTTTGTGTTACAGAAAGCTCTCCTTTTTTGTAACCATAATTTATTGATCTTACTATGAAATTTCCCAGCTGTTTCCAGAAAACTTTGAAGAATTCTGTTGTAAAACCATCGCTTCCAGGACTTTTATTATTTGTCATATTTTTCAAAACTAGTTGCTTCATTTAAAGTTATCTCCCCTTCCAGACTATTCTTTTGTGTATCACTAAGTTTTTCTGCAGCAATGTCCCAAGTATGATCACTTAGATCAATATCTGTCGTCTCAGAATTAGCCTCATAAAGTGTTTCATAATATCTTTTAATTTCAAGAAAATAAATCTATCTGATTTGTTATTTCGGAACCTATTGATTCATCTTTAATCAATTTAGGGATTATTTTATTTGGATAGTGTCTTTTTCATGGTTCAGAAAGTACTTACTAGTAGGTTTTTCTCCTTCATTAATCTCGGGAGGCCCGGGTTCGATTCTCGTTCCCGGCGCCGCTTCAAACCTAAGACGTGAAATTTGGTAGTTACTGTTCCTTCGCCAAGCGCTCGGCATCAGAAGTGGAAGTCATGGGTCTTTCGGATATGACCTGAAAAAGTAGGTCCCGTGTCACGGTAGGCGCTAGCACGATAAAGAACCCTCACTGCTCAATGGCCATGAGTGCCGAGTATAGGTCTAAATTTGAAGCCCTTCATCGGCATACTGTGACGTCTCCATATGACTGAAAAATTCTCGAGAGGGACTTAAACAATATACAATCAATCAATCAATCAATCAATCGTTCATTCATCCATTTTACTCTAGACCTTATGACATTTCTGAGAAGTTTATGGTCTCTTATATTTTCCAATTCCTGTTTATTGTTTGTATATTTTTATTGTAGTCTTTTTGTAGAGTTCCTTGGGAAGACTTTATCTCTCAACCATTATGGTAGAATAAAAAAAATTTAAATTGACAATAAGCCCATTTTCTTTACTCCAAATGGTTTATGAATGATGTAATTTTTAGCTCAGATTTTTTTGATGAGAGAAGATCTGTTTTTAAGAATTAGAGGATCTAAAAGCAAAATTTGATATAGAAACCAACTTTTTAACATATACAAGTTTACAGAAAGCCGTAGAAGAAGCGATGGCTTTAGAAAAAGTAAACAGAGAAAGATTAAACCCTAGGCCCATTCTACCTCTTTATTTAACATTATTATGTGTATGTAAAAAAAGAACAAAAGCTATGTATTATATTTTGAATACAGAACACATAGGACCTATTTCAAAAGTGAAATGGACTTAACATTTTGAAATTTAAGATTCCCTATGTGAAATGATATATAATATTTGAATCATAGGAGATAGAGACTTTACGAGTATATTTGGTATGCATAATCCACTACTTCAGTTCTTTCAAATGCCTTGACTGTAACCTCTATGCTTTTTCTAACTTTTGTCATGTCTTTTTAACCATAAGAGATAGAGACTTTATATCCTGGATGAATACTCCACTAGTTAAGAGCTTTCAAATGACTCCAAGGACGATGATCGTGTGACCTTGACTCGAACTTTGTTGCCGCCGGGCGCATAGTGTTTCAGAAACACATCTTGTTTCATTAAGGTAATTTACCTAGTTATATACGTCCCGAAATGACGTCGTAATGGACGTTTTTTAACTTACGACTCAATGACGTCTAGATGATAAATAACATTCTGGCGTATGGTGGATAAAGGGACAGTAATTTCAGATAAAGCATTGTTTACATTTCTACTTTCGTTTCGTCTCCCCAGATTTCGTTTTTGAGTTCATTTTTTATTCAAAAAATTTATTGATTCCAGATTAAAAGACTTAGAAACGTGTGTAAAAGAAATGATTCATGACTGAGACAGAAACAACGATTTCAGAGGAACGGAAAACGAACATAAAGGAACAATCATACAAGTAATTATTTAAACTACGTCATTCAAGTGATAATACGGTTTTGTTGTATTGAAATAAAGACAAATATCATAAAATTTAAAAATCAATATCTCACCGGTGCCAGTGGATTATTGAGCTGCAAACATTCCAGCTGATTATAACAAATAAAATCTATAAAACTTCAGATCTAAGAAGCAACCAAACATGCTAACACGTGTTTAGACTTGACACCCGCGCTTGTGTAAGAATTTCGGAATCGTGACCTTGATCAATTTTTCTAATATCAATAACGTTAAAGTGCACACTGAATGCTATATGGAAAAAAATCTCTTTTCTATCAGTGTTTCTGCCCAGATTTTCGCTTTTCTTCACTTTCTCGGAGATTTTAAGGGGGACGAAATAATGTTATTATTGATTTAATAATCAAATGAAATCAATAAAATATCTTTTTAAAGTTTGGTTTTGTATTTACATTTTTATTACCATTTTTGGAGGCTCGGCGGGGATTCACGAACTGATAAATAGCATTTAAAGATATGGTAGAGTAATAGATTAAATATTTTGTTGTTACTGTTAGAATTATTATCCCATGCATTTAAGTTATTTAAAAGAGAGGTATTCCTTTATGTCAGCAGGCAATTAAAGGACAAGGCACATAAAAGAGATCTCTGTCTCCTCATATTCTATTAATGTACAAGTTATGCTAAAATATTGAATTACAAGAAATGGCAAAGTCTTATTTTATGATAAGAAAACATTTTCATAAAATCGTCTAGCTATATAACACACTTTTATATCAATGACACTTTAGATTGTAAAAGTAATTTGCCCGTATTAATAGCTTTTTTTTTATAGAATATCAAACAGATTTCAAAATAAACAAGTAAAAAATCTTCATAATATGATAGTGAGTAAAGAATCAAAATAAAAATGAGCATGACTTTTTATTGATAATCTTTTGTATGTGTGTGCGGGAGGGGGTTAAAAACTAATGATTCATAATTAAAGATATACTAGCAATGTGTATGCATTGAATATATTTTACAGTGACTTTATAATAAAACTGGAACCTTTTGAACGTCTTTTTAGTAAAAGTAATTCGCCAATTTGTATGATAGAAATTGACTATATTTGTCATTCAATACAAGGAAAAGCGTACATATAATAGAATATAAGGATGCAGAAATACTTAGAAGATGCATATTCACAGTACAATGAAAACACAATTTAGTATTGTTGATAAGATTTGAAGTCATTATATATCATATAGGCAATACATCATAAGCTGACAATTTCTTTCCTCAATGCTACCAAGCTCTTACTAGTTAACTTTGGCCGTATGCTGGCAATTTTAACTGCAGTAAATTCTTTGGCTGTTGGTATCGGAGCCAAGATGGTGATGGCCTGCATGCTCAGTGTAAGAGCTAAAATTTTTTTAAGTTCTAATGATTATAACAGACACATTCAAGATACAGTAGTAGTGTGGTGATCCTGGAGGTACTGGGCACGAATTGCCCTGCTACATCCGATCACAAGGTATACGTCACAGCACCTGTCTTGACGTGTACTTATCCTCGCTCTCTTTTGTGTTACAAGCTGCAGAGAACGGACGTGTCTCTGTTAGCTCCGTCATTATTGTATTTTATATATTATAACTGCGGGCACTAATAAATAGCGGGTCATTTTATCATGTTTTGTTCTCTATTCCGCCATCACAGTAGATAATAAAGAGAAACTCTATAGTAGAAACCCGTGTATCTGACAAATTTTTAAAGGTCAAAGGTATTGTACCAGGGCCACGTAAACGAGCTCCGTATATTGTCCTAATGTAAAAGTCAGCTGTCAACTGTTAAAGTCAGCGTTAAAAGTTCTATAGGATACGGCAATGCCCATCTTTTTACATTAGCATTGTGTATTTTGTACATTCTTCAGTTAAAAAGAGAGATCTAATTTCTGAATATGATATACATTTCAGTTAATGTATATAATGAAACACGGAATTATACTGAAACACGAAAGAGATGCAACATATAATGGCGATGCTAATCGGAAGTTTTAGGTACCTTCAGATAAAGGACGTTTTTGGTTAAAGAATCATAAAATGTATACATGTAAATATGTTCGTTTCCATGGCTACAACCTCTGAATATGCCCTTGTTAAATGTAAAATTTGTGAAAAAAATCCATTATTTTTTAAATTACTCCGCTTTACACATAATGGCAATTACGGCTACATGTATTATAGCAAAACACTTAATCAATTATCAATTTATTTAATCGTGCATGTTAAACTTTATATGATAATTTTGAAGAAAAATTAAGTAAAAATTCAAGAATTTTAAAATTTACATTCTAAATTCTAGATTCTTTATGCGTTAAAGGAAGAAGATGGAGATAACAAACAGTATTCAATCTCAGTCCATAAAATGATACAAAATAAGAGCAGAGCAAACACGGACCTTCAAAACATCAGAGGTGGGATCAGGTGCCATGGAGGAGTGAGCATCCCCTGCCGACCGGTCACGTCCGCCGTGTGCTCCTTGTAATTAAACAGATAACTCGATATCAAGATATAAAAAGCATTAAACGCCCGATGGCAAAAAAGTTCGAAAAAAAGCTTTGTTTAGCAAAAAAGGTCAATGTCAAGGTAACAAGACCATCGAGCTTGGTGTCATTTGTAAGAACGTGATGAATGGAAAATGCAGTTACTATATCTTATGGTTCAAAAGTTATGGTAAAGGTTTAAAAGCTATTTTTAGCGAACAGGTCACAGTCAAGGTCACAAGGTCATTGACCTTGGTGTCGTTTGAAAGAGCTTAATGAATGAAGTATGCATACTAGATATGAAGTCTCTGTCTGTCATGGTTCAAAGGTTATGGCGAAGGTTAAAGTTTGCAGACAAACAGACAGACAGGACGAAAACAATATGCACCCCGGATCTTTCATTCCTGGCGCATAAAAATTAATATCTTTTTAAAGATGTAATATGTATGCCTGATTTTGAAAATAAAACTGACATATTTACAAAATAAGCCTTCCCCCCGGAAGAACAGCTATATAGTAAAAATTCTGGGGGGAAAGTCTCACTATATAGCCATTCTTCCGGGAGGGAAGACTCACTAAAAAACCATTCTTCCGGGGGAAGCCTCACTATGGGGGAAGTCTCACTATACGACACCGGATTGGTCAAAATTAAAAAAAAGAATAATTTCAATAAAAATTGACTATTTCGCTTCAATTTCTTTTATAAATATGATTAACGATCATGTTCTCTCCAGTTGTGACTGGTTTTAATAATATTTTAACCACACGTTTAAAAAAAAAAATTCACAAATTATATGAGCTCAATTTTCATAAATATTTTTAAAATTTAAATTATGAATTAAGATCTATATGGCCTTTCTTTACATATTTTATTAGGTATTCATGTGATGCATTCATTTATAGCAAAAGTTTTACAAGAAAGCTTCTAAATCATGTAAATTTTTTTTTAATTTTCTTTGACAAAATACATAGTAATAAAGATTTCAGGTTTAATGCCTTTGAAAAACTATTCTACTCTTGTGTCATACCTGTTTTGGATTATGCATCCAGTGTCTGGGGTTACAAAAAGTTCCAGCCTATAGATAATATTCAGAACAGAGCTATTCGGTACTTTATTGGGGTTCACCGTTTTGCTCCTACATTGGGGGTTTATGGAGACACTGGATGGATTCCAAGTCAATATAGACGTTGGATAAATATAATCAAATACTGGAATAAAGTTTTATCCTTTGGCAATGATCGAATTACAAGAATTGTTTTTGAAGTTGATTACAATAAGTGTAAGAATAACTGGTGCAGTGATTTTAAAGATATATTACACCAACTAGAGCTGGATTACTATTTCGAGTCAAAGCTTATGGTAGATATAAATATGGTTCAATCAAAATACACAATTATTACTCAAACCTTTGGAACAATGAGATTTTAAGCATTCCCAAACTGCGGACTTATGTTAATTTTAAAACAATGTTTGGTAGGGAAAATTATGTTGCACTTGATATGCCTAAATATTTACGTTCAATTTTAGCACAAATTAGATGTGGCATTTTACCTTTACGAATAGAAACCGGTAGATATCATGGTGAATCTGTTGAGGATCGAATTTGCACACTTTGCTTTAGAAATAATGTAGAAGACGAAATTCATTTTTTACTGCATTGTCCTTTATACTCTGAATATCGATTAAAACTTTTTGAAAACACTGGCATTAATCAAATTGGGTGGTCAGATTTGGATTTACTATGTGCACTTATTTCAAATTATCTTAGACAGGTTGCAAAGTACTTGTATTTTTCATTAAAGCGAAGACAGTCCTTCATGTTCAGAAAATAATAATGTATTTCAATTTCATCTACCAATAATCCTTATAACAGACACTACCAATCTTACCATACAAAATGTATAGATATATATTAATCACAATTGTGAAATTGTTTATTTTTCTTGCACTTTTTTTTTGTTATTCTCCTAACGTTGTGCTCCTTCTTTTCTTTATATAATTATTGTATTTCAATTTTGTGTTTAACAGTGTTTAAAGTGGCATATAGGCCCGATGGGCAGGGTGTTGATTGTTATTTTATACAGTCTGTAAACAAAAGAAATTAATTGTACACATGTCACTATAAATAAATAAATTACTTACTTACAAAAAAAAAATCATATAAAATAATCAAAAGCTAATGTCGACCTTTCAATACTGAAACCATTGTTTAAAAAGGTTGACTTGGATCGAGATCTATAAATAAGAATTTGGTGTGGTATTCCTCCTTAAACTGTCATTATTATTTTATGAAGCCTTTTACTTTAATTTTATGCACAAAAAGTATGATGTTCATTATTCCTATAATGCCCTATCAGATCAAACTCTCTCTGGGGATAATGAGCCGGTATCATCTAATCAATTTGAAGATTAGCAATGGGGATATAACTAACAATCATTTCCTACAGCTATCAGAGTGTGAACTCTGTATTGGCCAGTATTACTCCGAGTCACTACATAATGTGTTATGCCTTGCAAGTCTTTAAAGAAACCATAATTTACAATGTCAAGTATCTTGCAAAGCAAGGATGAAATATGAATGGTATTGATCAGGCAGAGCTATTTCAATCTCTGTTTTATCAAATTAATGTTAACTCAGTGAAAATTGACCTTTAGGATCTGCACATGTTAATTTCATATCACAAGCAAGTTGGGATCATCACTCTTATCATATATGGCTGCATGATATGATGTGATCTTACATTATTTTAAGCGAAAACGTTAAATAAATTTTTGTACATTAATAAAGTATTTATTGAAATATAGGTAATATAGATATATTTTCTCTTTTCTTGGGGGGGGGGGGGGGACACTATCTTTGAATTTCTTCTGCAAATCTTCTGTAGATATTTCCATGTGCTAGCTGCACATCATGTACCATTCTGTTTTCTTTTAAAAAATAACTCCTGTGTAGGAATTATATCAACATCGTGCAAAGTCATCTCCATAATAATTGCAATAAAATCTGCAAGGCCTTTGAAGTCTGCATAACTATTTTTCTGTTCAGTTGATAGTATTGACTTGAATTTTTTTCCACCCAATTCTGTATGAATCAGAAACCCAGGCATCAGAGATGCAGATAACTAGCAATTTGACACTGATTAAATGGCTTTGTCTAAAATCTTGTCCTCTAAGCAGTAAACCTTGTCTTCTAAGCATGTTATAATTTTAATTGGCTATCACTCACAACTATATCTCGTAAAAACCTGAGTAACTACATTCTTAGACTTACCACAAGCCCTGACTGGCTCGGGCTGCAATACGACATTGACTTGTATTGTATTGACACTTTGGCAGTAAACAATGCTTACAGCAATCACACACACTAGCTAATATAAAGAACTGGGCACGGTTGTTCAAAAGTTGGTTAAATTTAACACAGTGTTTTCTCAGTGTTAAATAATGTGTTAAATTTAACCACATGGTTAACTGTTGTTCAAAATTGTGTTTGTGTTAACAAGGCGTTAAATCCGTGTCAAATTTAATCCACCTACGGTAGGTAGATTAAGAAGTTAACACCGTGATTAAATATGGCCGCCAACTTTCTTATTTACCCGCCTGGACCCAGAAAACAGCGTGTTTTTCAACTCCATACGAATTTAGAGGGTTGGACTGATGCTGAATTAAGAAGAAGGTACCGCTTTGGTCAGCATGGCATCAATTTTATTTGTGATGTCATAAAAAATCACTTGGAAAGAGCCATCAATAGGAACTGTGCGCTTAGCGTCCAGCATGAAGTGATGATTACCTTGCGCTACCTTGCAAGTGGCAGCTTTTTGCAGGTTGTCGGGGACACTCTAGGTACAATTAAATGACTACAGAACACAAACTACATAACTGTAAAAAAAAATAAACTCAAGTTGAAAATTCATTATTAAAGTTCAAGTAAAATAAAAACGACACAGTGCTGTGAAAACTTCTTGTTTATATACTGCATGATTAAGCGTAAAACGCTGATTAAATAGTCTGTCCGTATAGAAAAAAAATATACAAGTTATTCAAATTTGAACAGGGTTTGACAAAAGCACAGTATCCCGCACCATTAAGAGAGTCACCGAAGCACTGGTTGCGAAAGCTGACACATTTATTCAATGGCCTGACGCAACAACAAAATCAAGCATCAAAACAGGGTTTTACCGGCTAGCAGGTTTCCCCAATGTAGTCGGATGCATCGATGGGACTCAGGTACGGATCCAGGCCCCATCACATGACGAAAATTCCTTCGTAAATAGGAAAGGATACCACAGCATCAATGTCCAAGCTGTACATTGTATGTGACCACGATGGTAAATATAACTGACTTTTTCCAGGCCCCTTGTATCATTTTCGTTCGATGGGGTTAAAAAATTTAAACATTTACTAAAACTTCGTAATTTCTATATACTTGTATTGAATTAATAGGTTTTTCACACATCCTTTAACAATCCCTCTTCCATAATTATTGTACTATAGTTGTGTATTAATTGTTTAAACGTTTTTTAAAATGATCTATGCATGTCATGTAGATTAACCTCCCCTTCGAAAAATAATGTGGCGGATCCATATACTGAGTATTGATTTTACAGCAAGTACCTGTTAGAATACATCAGTGCATTGTCACACAAGAGTAGTGCATGTGCAAGCAAAATAAATTCATGGGGTAAATAAAAATTGAAAAAGAGATTGATCTGAAGATATAAGTGTGAATAATAAAAATAATTTAAAAAATGAATTTAGTCCAATATTTTATTTATTTTTTTTATTATTTTTTACTTTTTTTTTTTTATTGTAACACTTTCACATGTACATATAAAAAAATTTTCATCATTTGGTACACAATAACATCGGGTCTACACACAATATAGAGTTATGTTTATATAATGTGAAAGGTGTTTTGAAAGAAAAAAAAGAAAGAAAAGGGGGAGGGGTCAGCAAGAAAAAAATCTTTCTTCTATTATAAATAATACAAAAAAATAAAAAATCACTCATATATGATATACGGTATCTTCAAGACTGGCCGATTGGTGCAGCTTAAATTGTTATGGTGTCAATGAGAAAAATTATGAATAATCCATCTAATTAAAAGGAAAATGGACAAATGTGTACCATCCTTGGTCAATGAACTAAAGTCTCTGACTCTTACATTTGTGTTAATTACATTAATTCTTTTATTTCTAATTTGTGTTTTCTTTAAGTTAGTAGTTGAGAACATGAAAGTATATAATCATATTGCCACAATATTTACATGAGGCACATAGTTGTCTTGGTGGGGAAAGGGGTTCCTCTAAGGGTGTCGACTCCATGACAATGAATGCATGACTTCCTGGAGATTGGGATGGCACAGGAAGGTCCTCACAAGCATCTTGCCAAATGTCCACATCATGATCCTTAGTTATCCTGTTTGTTACAGTCTGAGTGGGAGACACTGCCATTGAGGATATTACTATAGAAAAAAATCATTATTATTAGTCTCTCTTACTTATATACACATGCACTCTGCCATGGTTACTAGTATGCAGCCTCATGAAGCAGTTCTTATTTACTCAGTGCAGCATAAATTCATCAGATAACATCTTTAATCAAATATTTACTTTTCATATTTATAGCACTTTTCGTATACTTGAACACATAAAAATAATGATTAATTTTCTTTATTCTATACAAAGTCATATTTTTAAATTTATTATTCTTTCCATCTTGTAGAATAGTTATTTTGTGATTTTTCTTGTTTTTTCTTCTTCTAAAGTTTGTTTTTTATTTAATCGAAACAAATTCACATGTACTTATAAACAAACATTTTCAATGTTAGAAAAATTTCAAAACCCTGTTTTAAAAATTCAACATTGGCACCCCCCCCCCAACCTTACTCTGAATTTTTGTCAAGATGATAAGATGGGCTTTACAGTTAGTTATCTTAAAATTCATTTATACCCTATCTATAACTTCAGAATGTTTATTAAAGCATTGGTTGATTGAACTTTTTGAGGCTCTTTAGATTTATGTTTTAACTTGAATCCACACCAGAGACATTATAAATACATCAATCCACGTGTATTATTTTCGGATTTGACATCCGTATCCTCATTCTTCCCATTTTAATTTGAAGATTAATTACTGCAGTTAATATGAAATCTATTTTTCTCTCAAATTCAAAATAAAAATAATCCATCAAGATGTATGAAACATACTTTGTGCGAAACTAATCAAATTTTAAACATCCAGAAGAGAGCACATGTTGATGGTGAGTTCGGCTCTTATTTTTCATTTTGACTCGAAGGGCACACTTGGAAGATTTAAAACGACAATCTAAGAGCATTATAATATTATTTCTAAATTAAAACTGTTCATGTTCGGTCACAATTATACATGCATGGCTAGTGTTAAGATTGATATTTTCGATTTGTATTTGCCCCATCAAAAGGTCAAGGTCACGTTATGGTAAACAAATTCGAAAGAAAATAGATCTACGGAAAAAAGGACGATATTAACAATTCAATCACATGGTTAACAGCGTTAATTAGGCTTGTAAAATAAAGGATATGCCTTGTAACGACAAAAAGATAACCCGATCATTTTTAGGTCTTATTAAATATAGATTTCAACAACTGAGTAATGTTTCATGTTTGGAAGCAGACGAAAATGTCCCTTGGTAGTCAAGTAATAGTATGGGACATTGCACTGTTTTGTTCCAATTAAAGTGCCAAATTTTAGATCAAAGTAGTATGTTATTTTGAATTGATAAAGTATTAATTAATGTAGAGTTATTTAAACAAAGTAAATTCAATGAAAGTACAGTTTGACATTATTTCATTGTGTGTTTTGGCTTAGCTACTATCACAGTTTTAATCATTTTCCCATTATTTTTTTCTTTTATTTTTATACATATGAAATATGGAGATAATGAGCATATCAGAAAATATTATTGTTGATGAACACAAAAAAGTCATATTTTACCAGAACAGCCAGGCATTGAGGTTTCAATGCCCCCTTCAATCCCATGGAAGGAACTGGCATCCTTATACATGTCGACAACATCCTGCATTGTCTGGGAAAGAGGGGTGGGTGGAGGCCCTCCTCCTGTCTTTGTCATCTGTCTTCTGTTCTCGGTAAATTTCATTTTGGCCTCCCGACACATGTTACGCCATTTGTCTTTAACTTCACTCAAATTCCTCTTAGCTACCCCTACAGCGTTAACTTTCCTAAAATATCAAGCCAAATGGCTTGCTTTTTAGCATTGGTTACAGTGTTGCTGTGCTTTGCCTCAAGAATAGGATGGAATTTTACCTCATTTTTAATAATTTCAACCTCTGTTAAGGTGAAATTAATACTCCTAGCTTTCCTACTCTTTTTTATGCAGACGACGTCAGCCATGATTGTGTACAAAGGAAGTAGAAGTGCATTATGGGTAAACAAGTGATTACCAAGTGATTAAGCAGTTAACACAGTGTTAGCTAACCAATGTGTTAAATTGCTTTTGAACAACAGAATTTAACCACTGTGTTTTCTAATCAAATGATTAAGGTTTAACACATAGTTATCCTTAACCACTGTGTTAAATCTAACCATCTTTTGAACAACCGGGCCCTGATGCTTAATAGTAAACCTGTTTTAACCAATGCTAGCTTGATTTTATGATGATGCTTATTGCAAGGTGACTTTCATTCACCATTGCTTAGTAATAGACATCTTCTGAATCTAAAGGATAAAAGAATTAGACTAATCTTATGAAGCCCCCCCCCTTACATTTTCATAAAATGTGTTTTTAGTTTTATGATTGCATTTCCAAAATGATCTAACGTACAACCCAAATCATGAAGGATTATTGTTTTTCCAATTTAAAGTTTTTTCTTTGCCACAGGGTAATCAGGTCTTGTCCCTTCTCTTCTGCTTCTGATCTTTATCATATCAGTGAATTGTTTGTTTCTGAGTTGATGAAGAGTTAATGTTGTTCAAATACGCATTGAGGGCCTAACTGTAATTGAGGTAATTAATGGTATGTCTATTTAGCTGTAATTTATACAGATGTTAGACTGATTTGACTGATTTGTTGTGATCTATAAATTCAACCTGATAAAGTTTTAAGAGGACGGGAAATGCCAAGTTAATGGTGAATGGGATAAATGCTAGATATAATTATTATCACTACAGTAATCATGGTAATAGATTGATGAGTTAATTTGAGTGTGTGATAGGATTAAGAGATAACCTGAAATTTTTCATAAAATATATAACAAAAAGTTAATGGCCTTAAGACATGAACAAATCAAGGCAGTTTGTGGTTTTGATGTAGTTTGTTGGATAACTGAGATATTTGAAAGAAACAAATTTAAACAGTTAAGATTTTTTTTACAGGTATTTAAGTAGTCTAAATGCCAAAAAGTAAATTTTACCAAATTTATTTAAAATGTAACAGAATTTTAATTTATAAAAAGAATTATTTTTAATGCCTGTTTTTAACATATTTCGAAAATTATTTATCAGTCAATTAATGTTTTGACAGTAAAAGGGAATTTGTCAATCAATATTTATTTAAGGAATCAGTGTCAATCCTCTACCTCAAAGAGCGTCCGACTTGTATGTGTGATAATTGCGTAAATGTGTTAATTGAAGTTTGAGTGAATCCCGTATGTTGTGTGAGAGAGTCAGTTTTAGATCCGCCTTGGACAATCCCGGACATGAATATTAGATGCACTGGACATTCCGTCATCAAGAAAATACAGTTTTACTCTGGTCTATTCCGAGTTACCAAAACGTTGGTGTGTGTGTCCGTGTGTGAGCGTTACAACTCGTCTTTGTTTTATGTGACTTCACTTGATTTATTTTTCAAGATATTAACTTTTACTTTTTACTGCTTGACTTTCGTTAAAATAAATTTTCATCACAAGTTCACTTGTGTTATAAAGCATTAGTCATGAAGTATTGTCAGCTTAATTAGTACTCTAGACATTCATTTTTACTTCTGATACATGGTGAGGATTGTCAGGTGATACAGTGATGGTAATGTCATTCCGGATTCTGGTGTAGGTGGTGGGCAGTGGGAGGGGTCCCCCTTCCTGAGCCAGAGTTTTTGGGGATATTTCTGTTGAGTCAGGGCATTTTAAATAGAAATCAACTTTTCAAGCATCTTGTCCACAAAATCTAACATTTCAAAGAGTTTTTTTAATATTGTATTTTTAGATATATATGTAATATTTTTAAACACATTTAAAAATGTTGACCGAACAGTTTAGCCATGGAATATTTCACTTCAATAAATATATTATGCATAAAAGTGTTCAATATTCTATCATACTATTTTTCAGTCACTGTCCCAACCCCCATCCCCATCCCACTCCACAATTTCAAACTCATGCTTACAAAAGTTGATGAAATGTTTTTTTTTTTTTTTTTTTTTTTTTAGAAATCTGTACAAAAATCTAAATGCATCTTACACTAAGGCTGCTATCCTTACTACAACTCCAAAATAAATTCTGATTTTTTTTCCAATACAAGAAACATTTTTTTGTTTGATTCTTTAAATTTGGATGGACATGCATTTTCATTCTACTTATATACATGTCCAAGTAATATTTTGAAAATATTACATTTATCAACTGTGTATTTGCAAAATTGATGCAAGCAATGTCAATATCAAATCATACCTGATTCTTTTAAGGTTCGCCATCTCTCCACAAATGAATTTCTACTGCTAAGATGTCCAGCAAATAAGCTTAAGTATTCATTGTCTTCTGCATTGAACTCCTCAAGACGCACAATTTTGTCAAAGCCATTCATCATTATCTAAAAAAAAAAACAAAAAAAAGAATGAGTTCCTAAATATTTTCCTGATTTTTTTTTTTGTACCAAACTAATTGAACTCACTAGGATATTTTACCCTTTAGAATAAAAACCGTTAAAGGAGATGTATCAGTCACAAAAAAAAAATCATTTTAAATACATATTTAGACTATCATACCTTGATGCATCCTTTGTTGTTGGCGGCTGCAATATCCCACACTTTTCAAACTATGCTGCCTTTCTGTTTCATAAATACTGCATTTTGTGACTTTGAATTGGACCACATAGTTCACCTTGTAAGAGGTATGGATCACATGTGCTACAGACACAGGTCTGAAATTGCATGCACACTGAAAACACGCCCCTAATAATCTTATCAGTATTACCAGTCTGATTGACATCTCTTCACTGAATGCATGGAACTGCAGAAGGTGCTCATTCTTAGTAAAAGTGGAAATGAATTGGGACCTAGCACTTTATAACTGCAATATGCTATTATTTTATTATTCAATCAAGATATTCTGAGTGAAATGGATGACAATTTTATTTCTGAACACTCTATTATTGAATCACAGGAATATGAATCATCGTTAGGTCACAGTAGCCGTACTAACTGTTTAACAGAATCACTTCAAGAGTTGTCCAAATTCGAAGAATCTGATATTTCTACAAGTCGTGCTTACCATAATGTATTTTCATTCTGTGATGACACGCCGCCCCCTGTTCAAGCATTTGATATACGCGAAGAAGATTTGCATGAACAATCAAGTGAGATAAGTAAAGAACTTTCTCTCATATCATTCGATTTACAAACAAGTGGGTGTTCCACCGATTCAGAGCCATTTGGATATTTACATTTCATTGAGCCTTTAATGAGCAGTACTCCTAAGAAAAATAAAGGTATGTATACTTACTTTCACTTCATTGTACATGTGTATGATCAAATTAATTTGCTTTGTTTTCTTACGAATTTGAATTATTATAATTTTTGCTAACAACACATGACTTAACTTTATAATTTTCAAGTAAAAGAAGGTCATACATATAACACATGTATTTTAAAGGAGATTTGTGAACATGACGAGCAAATTTAGTCTATAGTGGGATAAATGTAAAGGTGAAAAATGAAATTCCAATTATATCAAAATTTTCCTTAATATTTCATCTAACATAATTTTAAGTATCCTTTATGTAAAATCTCCACAATTTCATGAAGTTGAAGTTATTTGCCTTTGAAAATGAAATGCTATACAAAAACGAAAGAGGATATTTATCATAAAGAGTCCTTTACTCCATTTACATACTTAGGCTTCGGAAGCCAATTGAAAGTGGGGGCAGGCAAATTGAAAGTGGGGGGATAGCTAATCCAACAAAAAATGTTAACCCCAATTTTCAATGACTATATTATGTATGCATTACAAAAAAGGTGGGAACCCCCCCCCCCCCCCCCCCCCCCCCGGTTCCAACGCCTATGCTTTATTACACTTTTATACAATGCGAGTGCTTCTCCACTTCTTAAAAAAGTTAATCCATAAAATTTGCATAAAATTATACCTTTTTAATCACCCCCTTGACGAGCGGGAGGATATGTAGTAGAGCGGGAGGATATATAGTAATTGGGATATATGTCCGTCCTTCCATCTGTGACTCTTTGGAGTACCAATGTCAGTAGTATAAGGGGTCTAGATAGGGGAGGATTCTGATTGGCTGAGAGAAATCACGTGATCAGTTTTGATTGGTTGAGGGGATAGGTGGGTCAAGGGAGTGCAGGTTTGGGGGGGTCTGGGGGGATAGGGGGGTCAACTCAGTACAGTCCCCCCTGGGATAGGGATAGGGGGGTCAACTGAGTGCAGTCCTAACCCTAACTAACCCTAACCCCCCTAGCCCTAACTACCCCTAACCCTAACTAACCCTAAACCCCTAGCCCTAACTAACCCTAACCCCCCAGCCCTAACTAACCCTAACCCTAACCCCCTAGCCCTTACTAACCCTATCCCCCTTAGCCCCCTCTAACCCTAACCCCTTTGAACCCTAACGTATCCTATCCCCTAAATACGGGGCGTGTTTACACTGTGTTTACATTATACACTATACGTTGGTACTACGTTTTGTTTATGCTAACTATACAGGTAAAATACTTTGGGGCCGTGTGCAAAACATTTCAAGAATGTGATTATGACGTCACGCATTCATTCACAGTCTAAAGCTCAGCCTAGCCTAAACCAGTTCAAACTGGATTTTTTTTTTACTGAAAACAATAACAAATAACACACACACAAGACAGATTATAACAAGAATCAATACGTTTTACCTGCGTTTTTATACCTGTTTGCATCCTCTATAAAGTGCCGTGTGCAAAACATTAGGGGTCGTGTGCAAAAGAAATATACTTTTACCTGTGTTTTCTTATATACCTGTTTGCATCATCTGTAAAGTGCCGTGTGCAAAAAGTACGATAAA